GCTAAAATGAATAGAGAAAAATCATCAGCCAAAATTTTACTATTTCAGATGTTAACAAAATTAAAATCGAAAATGATATAAACAACTATATGAACAAAATGAAAAAAAGACAAAGTGTTCAGTAAACATGGAAATTATTTCGTGAACGTAAATATGATCAAGATACTAGAAGAACATAATGTAACTAATAGATCCAAGAAACAACAACGGATGATAGAATAAATACTAGACCTTATGGAACAAAGAAGAAAATACAAGAACCAGTCAGACGAATACAGAAGAAAACAAAGAGAAATAAAACAAAACCTAAGAGCAGCTAAAGAATAGTGGATGGCAGATCATGTGAATAGAAACATGACATGTTCAATATGCAAAAGAAAATTCGTGAGGTGGCTGACCTGTATAATCAGAAAAACACTAATACCCTATAATATACCGCAGGAAAAGATATTATTGATAAAGAAAACATATTTGAACCATTAAATCAAGAAGAACCTACAATTTTAAAATCTGAAGTTCTTCATGCAAAAAAATCAGCCAAAATCAAGAAAGCAACTGGATCAGGCAACATCCCAGCTATAAAAAATATACCATATAAACCATATAAAAAACGTGTATATTACTGGTGAAATACCTTCAAAAATCAGGTATAAAATAATAAATGATAGTCGCTGAAGGTTTCCGTGTTTCAGACAAAAAATAAAATTTATAGAATTAAAAACTCCAATGCCATTTAAACATAAAAGAATCTATTACGGTTAACCTACAAAAGGCAATTAATGGCACATGTTACGATAAATATGACTCATAACTTTAAACATATTATTTCTAACCCATTCGTCTTTTTTGGATCATACACCAGCCGGCAGAAACTTCAATTAAAAACTGACGAATTCGAAATGAAAACCAGTCCGGCTGATCTTCTCGTCTGTTCGAAGGGAATCGCCGGAATTCTAGTCTAACGGTTGATTAGTATGGGACATTTTATGTAAACAGTTTTCAGTCCGAAATAAATATTGTAAATAGATATAAATTAAACGAGTTGTGTTCTAGTTATTAGTGATAAGTGTAAAAAATGTAATGTAATAAATATATAAAGATTCTAATACACTTGTAAGTGTTATAAATGTAGAACCTTTGATAATAAATAAAGACAATATATAAGATTAGGATTAGAAAAGGTTTGAATAATTAATGGATTCGACCGTTAGTTGATGGAAATTTATTTTATGTAACAATAAAACACTGAACACTTTGTTTTCAAACTTCCACAAAATTGTTGACGAAATTTTGTGGAAGTTTGAAAACAAAGTTTTCAGTGTTTTATTGTTACATCAAATGGAAGGGGCATGTTAAAAAGAAATCTGAACAGTTGATAAAGTACAAAAATATGTACTGGCTGATAGGTAGGTACTCTCAACTTTCCATCCAGAACAAAGTACTGATTTACAAACAAATAATAAATCCGTTGTGGACTCATAGCCTAAAATTGCGAGACTGTTCTAAAAAGCAATTCTAGAAATTTAGAAACGCTCTAGAACCGAATACCAAGGAATATTGTATGTGCTCCTTGGTATATTCGGAATGACGATTTACGTAGAAATCTTAAAGTTGAATCTATTTCAAATGAAATTAAGAAATTCGCCAAGAGACACGAAGAGAGGTTCCATAAGCATCCCAACCATAAAGTTCTTCAGCTTCTTGTCAACCAACCTCAGATGCGAAGGCTCAAAAGGACTTAACCGTTTGAGTTTGTGTAATGTGTGAAGTTGTGCAATGCTTACTTAGTGTTGGGCATTGTAGCCACAACAAGGACATGAGCAGTTAGTACTAGGATGCACCAGGTGACATATACATAGTTTATAAACAATCTTAAGAAAATTAGGTTAAAGAAAAAATGCTGATTAATCTTGTATGTTAGGTGTATTGTTATTGTTTAAAATAAAAAAACTGTCTGTGGTGAATTAACTAAAGTATCTATGAGAAATGTTCACAGATTTCTTAAACAATTCAAACAACATGAAGGTAAGTCAAATACGTCTGTTAACAAAATTGAAAACCTGAAAAAGAAAACGTATTCAGCTTGAAGAAAATATTAAGAATGCTATTCAGAGAAAACTCCATGCTTTCTTTTTCCGAAATAAAATTACAAACAGAAAGATAGTCGCTGCCAAAATAGATTCTCACGATTCGATACCCAAAATATTACGACTTGTATTATTGAGAACATTATGTCAAATGAACAGTAAATAAATGAAAAGAAGTAGGAACAGTATTCTTATAGAAGGAGAAGATATTTTGTGGCGAAGATATTACTTAAAAAAATCCAAGACTATCGTCGTGAAGAAGGAGAAATCTACTAATTAAAGGAACTTCTCTAACTGCCGGTTTCCGAAAAGATGATCATCTCAAAAATTATGTAATCGATGGTTAATCGTTGATCAAACGCATTTTGAGTTTCAGAAACGTCAATCAAACTACATTCAACAACAGTCGATCACCTAATTTAACAAAACAAACGATTAATCGTTAGTTAACAGTTGATCATATGTGTTTTGAGATTCTGAAACGCCGATTAACTAGTTTCGCATGTCAAACGACTGTCAAAATCGACTGTCACCTAATTTGAAGTTATTGGATGATTAAAGGGCTGTTAATATTTATAAAGAGTTGTTTTTAGTCATTAAATAGAGTTTTTAGTTATTAAATAGAGTTTGTATAGTTATTATATAGGTTAAATAGTTATTAAATAAAGAGTTTTTTAGTTTTTAATTATAATTATTAGTTATTTAATTATAATTTAGATTTTTAAAATTAAATATACATCTCTGATATTTCTGACCTTTCATTGTCGAGCGATGAGGAAAATGACATCCCCTGGGTTAATCACAGAACCAGGATGAATCCAATGACACACTACAGTGATAGTGAATTTAAACAACGCTACAGAGTATCCAAGGAAGTTGTGACAGAATAGTGGGACTAATAGATGGTATGGAACCAACAACCAAACGAAACAAAATCTATTAGTACCATTGAGCAGATTTTACTGACAATCAGCTTTTATGCTACTGGAGGATTCCAAGTAACTGTGGCTGATAGTGTGAGAGTGCACAAATCAACAGAATGTCGAATCATCAAGAGAATATCTCTAGCGATAGCTAGGTTAAGGCCAGTTTTTATAAAGATGCCAGCAACAGCAGAGGAGCGCCTGAGTGTTAAATCTGGGTTTTATGCTTTGGCTAATTTTCCAAACGTAATAGGTGCTGTTGATTGTACCCACGTCAAAATTCAATAAGTTGGAGGCCCACAAGCAGAACTGTTCAGGAATAGAAAAGGATACTTCTCTTTGAATACTCAAGCTATATGTGATTCACAGCTAAGGATTCAAGATATCATTTGTAGATGGCCTGGTTCTGTGCACGACACAACTATTTTCAATGATAGCCACATACGTGCCGATTTCGAGAGTGATATATATGGGAAAGATTTTCTCTTGGGAGATAGTGGATACCCTTGTAGAAGTTACCTTTTGACTCCATTTTTGCAGCCTAGAACAAATGGTGAGGAAACTTTACAATAAAGCACAAGTATCAACAAGAAATCCCATAGAGAGATGTTTCGGGGCATTAAAGAGACGTTTTCCCTGCCTATCTATGGGACTAAGGGTAAAACTAGATACAGCCATGAACATTGTTGTGGCCTGTGCTGTATTGCACAATATAGCTATCGATCACAATGACAACATTGATGATATGGTAGACGTTGAAGCTGCTATTTATTCATTTCAATTTTTTTTATTTGAAGTTCCAATTCTAAAATTTCTTTTTGTCTGATTTCATTATTTAAAAATACCAGTTTGCTTCTTTTTTCTATATTTGTACACTCAATTTTTTTTAGAATAAATACGTCTATTGGTTTCGCTCCCTACATTTTTTAATTTTTTATTTTTAAAACAAGCCTTAGACATTTTAGATTTTTTCTTGGGCAGGACAGCAGATGTCGAGGGTGTACTGAGCAGCACAGTGGAAGTAGAGGGTACATTGGATGTCTGTTCCGTGTCTTCCAATTGTAGATAATCTACTTTCACTTGACTATTTTGTGCAACTATAAAAATAAAAAAACTTTCATTTTTTTTTAGATACACCAGATAGTTTTTTCTTTATAATAAAACTTTCTCAAATTAAAGCGCTGATATTAAATTCCAGCGCTATTTTTTCCCAGGTTTCACTTTTTTTGCGGTGGTCATAGCATTTGTACATTTGTTTTCGATGATTTTCTTGTATCTGAAAACAAAGATACAATTAGAAATTTGTTCTATAAGTTAGACAATTTCGTACTTACTTTTCAATTATATGCAACAGTAAACACTTCTCCCTCTCTGTATAATTTTTGCGTGGAGGATTACTCATTTTTAATATTAATTTTTTAAATTATGTTGTTTTTTTAACGGTAGGTACAGCTTAAAATTTTTTGGTTGTTTATTAATATTTTGAAGGATGACAGCCGATTGTGACAGTATCGAAACCAAATCGTATGTCACAATTTCTACGATCATGTAATTTTAAGATAATTAACGTTTCAGAAACTGGTCACTGGTTAACAGTTAATCAAATCTAACAGCTCGATTAGATAATCGGAGATTTGAATAACGTTTCGGAAACCGGCCGTAAATCAAGGCCATATAGTCTAAAAGGTGTGGTAATATTTTTAAGTTAGAAACCGTTGTAAACCTTTACTGAAGGATTATCATCGGGTTTAAAAACATCAGCGGGCAAAGGAAGGAGACTCATTTTAACACGCATTGATTGGTGATTCGGGTTTTTTGGGTAACGGCTTTTACTATTTAAACCCAAGAAAATCAATGACTATTATGAAGAAAGGGACGCCCAAAAATTTGAAGGTTAATGTATGCTACGATTCTCATAAAACATATTTATAACTGTAATTATTTACCTGTATTTATTTTAAGAAAACTAGTTATTACACAAATTACTTACCAGTTTCTACGATATTGTCCCCGTGAATATTATATTTAAGATATATTTCATCTTTGTTCTTTTTCACTGAGTTAGCACTCTCAGTATTTGGTTGGTTATTTTTGGAAACACCATTAGAATTTTCAACATTTCTTTCTTCAGTTTTTCTTCGGTGATGCCGACGTTTTTTATCCTTGATTTTTTTGTGATCTACCTCAATATTGCTTTCTCTATGCCTATGTTTCCTTATGCGCTCTCCTGATTCCATATTTCGCTAGAAGTTATAGCTTCGGGAGAAAAATAAATTATTTGTTATAAATAGCCGCCGAAAATAGTGTTGCCTTATACCAGGAACAAATTAAATGCGGCAAGGCAGCGTAATTTCTATGCTTCTGTTTAAATTTAGAGGACTTTTGAAAGAAACGAGAACGAAACGAATAAAATACTTCTTTTCAATATCCATATTCAACCTATTTAGTCCATAGAACTAAATTATTCATCGGACTTTGACGTGGCAGGTATCTGACAAGATTTTTGAGTTTTATGGAGCACTAACTAAAATTTTTATATTTCCTGCAGTGGATTCGACAGCTTTTTTAAATTATTAACAATTTAAGACCAAAAATGCACCCTTGAAGTACCTACCTTCATCTACCAGTAAAAAGTAAATAATTTTAAACAAAATTTTAGGTAACTATAGTCTAAAAGCCCATGGGATATTTTTAATGGGTTATGTGACCCGGCATGGATCACGTATAAAACAATACTACAATATGTAATAACAACTTTGGAAACTATGTCGTCAATTCTTATCGGTACATGTGAGTCAGAGTTAAGAAAACTTACCATTCAAGTTAAGTTTTTTTTGATCAAACATTTTTGTACGACATTTATAAACTTAGGTAGGTAATTTAAAAATAATGACCTGCGACCTTGTGGTATTTTTGTTTCACCTCGTATATCATAAAAAACCGAAAAAGATTCTTAATCCTTTGCGTCTTGATAATAAATAAATATTTTGGAGTCTGTTTATAATAAACAAATTACGCAGAAAATAAATAAGAATCTTTCCACTTAATCTGATGCGGAAAATGTATACTCGCAGGGAGAAGGAATTTGGTCATGAGAGGACTTCAATATTGATAGCCGTGAGAGTACGATAGAGTTCCGCTCAGGCTTGGCTTGCTTTTAATTGTTGTCACAATTGAGCACGTAGCCCATAAGAAAGCTGGGAAAATCGGTAATGTAGTGCAGTACTACGAATAAAGTGCAATAGTTCAACTAAAAATAAAGTGATACATTTTAATTCAATTGAAAATTAGTGAAGTCTACAGCAATATTATGTAAGTTAAAATTAATTTTAAAACTCCAAATGTTGGAGATAATTTCGCTAAATGTCTTCTTTCTGGTTAACTGAAGAAATACACCTGTTAACTTTTATTGCCTAAAAATCTAATGGGAGTACAGTGCAAAATTTTTCTGTAAGAATGTATACTTTTTGAATTTTTATGGTATTCCATAATAGTCTTTGTTTGCAAATCCACACATGGGATCCAACATTGGCGCCAACGTTGGAGCCAACATTGGGTCAACTGTGTTCCCACGTTCGGTGAGGCATCCACACATTGGGTTGAGGCATCAACTGCAACACCAATAGCGCGAATCCCTTTGATGTGTACGCAAAAACTGACACTCCACGTAAAACTCTCAAAGTTGGAGCAAGTCATAAAAACGTTGGCGCCAACATTGGCTCCAACACAGTTTTGTCGGTACACATATTGGACGAACGTTGTTGGGGCTAATGGTGGCCCGTATGTGTGGAGCCAGTGTAATAGTTTGCATGTCAGTGCACTGGTGATGAAAGGGAATCCATCGTTTTGCCTTTTGTTCAGCTAATTATTATGTAAATTTTTTTATAGATAGTAAGATATATTATCTAAAATACCATGATAGTATGCTATAACTGAGGTAATGCCTAAATATTTTTGCAAAATTTTACTATTTGAATTCATTTTGCAGTTTTACTCAGTTATAAAGGTATTCCGCCTAATTTTAGAACTATTTACTTAATACCTGATTTATATAAATTTTTATTTTTGTCTTTTTGCTATCTGTTTTATTTTATTGACGTTTACTTGGATAATTTGTTAACTTTCCATAATAAGTTTATCTGGTTGAACTTTTGAAAAATAAAAATTGTTAATTTGTAGCTATTATTTCTTTAACGCTCTCCTATAATCTTCTTTCTTCTGGTAACTTAAAAGAAAGTAAATCTGAAAGAAAAATAGAGAGATATTATAAGGTAATTGTGTTTACTTTTTTTAGACTATGTATGCATATTGGTTTTCTAAAGGTTTAGCCTATTCTTTAGATCTTTCTTAAACCGATCTTCTCATAGAACAAGTGTGGAGATTTCCTCGTCCCTCGACAAAGGAGTGGGTGGCGCTTTTTATTTTCTCCCTTTCTTTTAGTACCAAATTCCCTCATTTTCATTGTTACATTTCAATTCCCAATTTTTTTAAATGTACTATCCCAAACCTATAGACCAACGTTCCAAAGCTCACCATGGTGTCCTTCAAAACCTCTGAGCGGCGGTTTGCAAGGTGAACTAACTTGCACCTAGATTTTTTTCTTCTCTTTCCATCCCCCACTACCCATTAAGACAAGTTATGTTACAAAAATATTGATACCAAGAGCAGGGAAAATTGTTTATTTTCGGAAAAATTTTTCCCCATTTTCGGTAATTTGACACAATACAGCATTCATAAAGTTTTATGATTATATAGATTAATTTTTTTGCAATGCCGTACATTTTGGCTGGGACAGGGGTGAGAAATCTAACTCCGGCTCCATACATGGGGGGCCAACGTTGTCCCCACCAGTGTTCTTCCAATGTGTGTACCGACAACACTGTGTTGAAGCCAATGTTGCCACCAACGTTTTCCGTGTACTGTCAGTTTTTGCGTACACATAAAAGGGATTGGCGCCAATACTAGTGTTGCCGTTGATGCCGACCACACATTGGCGCTATAGCAGTATTCCAATTGGCGTATAATTATGCTATTTACACATATTTTAGCTATTGGCGCATAATTTTCGCATTCTTTATAAAACTCGGTAAATAATTTTGCACAATCTAGCAAAGCAAAAGAAAATAAACCAATGACAAGCCACAGTTTATAACAAGAGTGCTTATTTGTTATTTCTTTTAAAATGCTTGTGCTACCATTTTACACAGCGTAATTTTAAACTTTATCGAAGAAAATTTTCATTCCATTACGACATTAAAAAACAAATTTACAACATGTAAAAATCGATCTTCAACCACCTCCGTTGAGTTGTTTAGGATTAACATTCCGATACACCTCGGCAGTCTATCAGAACGGGGTTTACGCTCTAGAGGCTATTTCTTACATACATAAATAATATACATATCTGATTTTTTCAGTATCTTTTAGGCACCCAAAATAATGTACTTATCTAAATATTTCACAAAAGTACATGCTGTTAATTTTGAAATATAGATCATTTTGTCCTAATATACCACCTTCGTGTAGTCATGTACCTTTTAAAATATGTACTCCCATATATCGGCTGTGAATTAAAGTCACGTTTGATGTAGAATATAGCCAAAATAAAAGGCTAATAAATTTGGGAATTGAATAAATAAAAGAATAAATGGGATTCAGAGCATCGACGCCAGGTTTACACTCATATATTCAGTCTGCAGTTGCCAAACACGTCATCTCCAAAGATCTAGTAGCTTTAAGTGACGCTATAGACAAAATGACGTAACATTCGCCTTTTTTGTAACAAAATATAATTCAGTCGCAGCAATTTCCATGTCGAATATGACATTGGTTGGTCAATGTCATATTCGTTGGTTTTGGAGGGAACAGACTGATATCGCCCCAATAATCAATCCAATGTGTGGATGGTTCATCGAACGTGGGAACACAGTTGACTCAACGTTGGCTCTAACGTTGGCGCCAACGTTGGATCCCATGTGTGGAGCCGGCCTAAGGCGCAACGATTATTTTGAACCCCCATGCTTTGTGTATCGATATGAATTTGCGGCATAGTTTCTAAAGTTGTTATTGCATATTGTAGCATTGATTTATATGCGATTCATGCTGAATGAAATGTTCCATGAGCTTGTAGTCTACTATTTAATAAAACACGTTTAAAACTTTAAAATGGCGATTTATGAATGTTGACTTTCTAATTTGTTGCATGAAAAACTGTAAAAAAACCTAAGAATTCTTAATTTGCAATAAATGTTAGTTATTAACATCTATGGGTAGTGGGTAGGATCTCCTTGGATTTCCTTAGACAGTCCTATCAGGAAAAATGAATCAGTCCCTGCCCTCCACAGATTCCAGGTGGTTCCTGGCCCGGGGAACTAGTACCTGTTTAGGGTCCCTTGTTCAGGTTTACAGCTAAAGACCACAACGGCAATCACGGAGGAGAAGGATACCTTCGGTACGACGAGGATGGCGGAAGTGGCGACCACAGATTTTGGGGCTAGTATAAAGTTAATTTTGACCGAACGATCGCCGGTATAAGTGATTCCACTCACCTTGCCAACGGTCTCTGGATAGGGGGCGGATGAGCATACGTGAGACAGGGCACTCTTTTGTCCTTAGGATGAGAAACTGTCTATAAAAGGCGGATGAACAAAGTCAATGGCATAGGAATACGGAAGGCAATGGAAAACCACCGTATTAAAGGTCCCCAAGGATATCCCAAGAAAGACAAGGATGGAAAAGACATTGACAGCAACGGACCCTAGTCCGTGGCAAGCCTTAAGTGGGCAAGGGGTGCTAAGAAACCACCTGAAAGTGGGAAAAACCCCAAAGCTAAAACTGGGTACTTGGAACGTTAAAAGTCTTTACACCGCCGGTAAATTAGACAACATAATACAAGAAATGGAACGATGCGACCTAGACATCATAGGACTTAGCGAAATCAGATAGTCTAACAGTGGTAAATGTACTAAAGAAAAAGCGACACTATATTACTCAGGAAATAACCTACCCCATCGTTATAATGGAGTTGGATTTCTAGTTAACACAGCCTTAAACAAATCAGTAAAAATCTTCGTGGCATACTCAGATAGGGCAGCACTACTACAAGTCCAAGCCGATCCTGTTGACGTTAATATTATACAAATCTATGCACCAACCTTGGACAAGCCTGAAAATGAAGTAAAACAATTGTATAGAGATATTAAGGAGTTAATGAAACTGATCAAGAAGAACCAAACTCTTATAATCATGGGATATTT